AATGGTATTGTTATGCCACTGAGAGTCAATAATTTGCCATGGTTCAATTTTTTGATCGTAGCCGGATTTAAGTTAATTTGTATGACGCAATTAAGTGACGTCATAATGGCGCACTGTGACTTAGGCAGAAATGTGGTATGACTTGCGGACATACGCAATTTTGCAACTCCACTATATGCACCAGTCCTGAAAACTAAACAATCCAAAAACGAATGTAATTCTCAGTATCTACAATGTCTAATCCCCAAAATAGCTAATCAGTTTCAATTACATTATTTTTTATGTTTGAAAATATATATTTCATCAATATAACACGTTCTGCACACCCACCGAAAAAAGACTAAGATTATATATAAAGAATAAAACAGCAATGCACCAGATATAAAAGCCAACCAAAGGTAAATTGGACCCGGACAGTGAATATCACAAGTGCACGTCTTCCTATACTGTAGTAAAAATTCAAACTAATACGCGCTAAGCTAGAATCCGAGATGCAAAAACTCGAAAATACTTCGCCGAGGTTATTTTGCCTTTAAGACAATAGTCCTGCGGTAACAATGATAATTCATTATGACGAAACAATCGCACAAATATGCATGTCAAACTAAATCTCCATTTTTATGGGTTTGGGAATTCCTAAAATAAAATCTGAGTTAACAGACAGGTGCGCAGCATTACATAAATACCTATTTTATAAAAAAAAATAAAAATCGCCAAAAATGACCTAGGCAATTCGGTTATTAGCGTGACGATATGCTAATAGACAATTCCATATATTTCAACAGAATTTCCTTATTTTTGAATTTCTAATTGCAAACTTGTGGAGTTCATTTCTAGAAATTATTTTTGCCTGTTACAAATAGTTTGTTAGCTATAATTCTGTACAAAAGAAATCAAAACAGTTATCATATCAGAGAATTTATTATTAATATTTATTATGTCATTATATTGTAGACTCGTAAACTCCCGAATATCAACTTTCCCATAAACTACTTTTATTCTTTAAGAAGCTAAATATATCGTATTTCTCCGTGTATAATACGCAGGGCTCTTTTAGGATGTGGATTGTATGAAAATACCAAGGTCCATGCATAATACGCACGATCGAATTCAGTTACTCACTTCGGTCACTTGCGTCGACCGCACTTGGTATTTTCGAGATGCCAGCCTAGCAAGTTTTACTATGATTTAATAATATGTTTCAAGTGTTTATGACACTGACAGGCTGTTACCCGGCTTTGAATTATCGTGCTGTTACCTATCTTAGAGCATTTTGAAAATGGTTGGGAAAAAAAGATTTGTGAGCGTTAGGTTTGCCGATCGGTCAAAACGAGAGAAATGAAACAAGCCGCAATTCAGAGTGAGAAAAAATGATTTAGGAACATTCAATTCTGCCGATACGGCAAAACAGAAATGAGGGACGCCAGACTGGACGAAAACAACAATCAAACTATCGATTTAAAGTGACGTTCTCATCACTTATATACACTGGTTATTGAAATAGATGCGTTGTCCTTTTTTAGACAAGATAGTCCATTCTGTGGGTGTGATTCTACTGCAACAAGCATGATCTGGTTATTACGGACTTTGTTACATAAAATTAATAGAAATAAGACGGAAAGAAAACATGTGTATTTTGCAATTGCATGTAAAATATCGATCAGGATTTTTTGAAAAGTTTCTATACCAATGTATAATACGCATTACGCACCCCCTAATTTTGAAGATGAGATCTGGAACCAGAAGTGCAAATTATACACGGAGAAATACGGTATTCGCAATTTAAGTTTTTTTCCTCGTTCCTGACAAATTAAGTTTACGTTGGAAATCTTAAAGTTCAAAGCGTCAACTTACAGTTTAAAAATCTTTGAACATCTCGAACTGATAATAATACTATTCTTGTCTATGTTATAAGAGGTTAAAGACAGAAAATATACATCGTAGCAAGATAGATAAACTTTAAAAATAGCAATGACTATCCGAAATAGCCTCAAGTATTGACTTCAAAAGTAGTACATGTACAGTTTCTCATCTGCGCTGGACAATAGGTAATAAATTAGACAAATCCTTAATGAGGGATGTACATTTTTACTGTATGCGGGCGATATGCAATACTGAAATCAATATCGTATATTTTGCATTCACTTTGAATTATTCTAGCTCATGTCGTACGTTCATGTCCGGATGTCACGTTCAAGAAAGTCATTAATAAAATGTCATTTTGCTGCAGCCATTCTTTGCTAAGCCTGTTTGTTATACAGGCTCATTGCATACTCGGTGAATGACCTTACTTTAACTTCTCACAATTTTCTCATTCTGAGAAAAGCACAATTCCCGGGTTTTGATTTGTAATAATAAGAATAAATCTTGTCGCAAGTATTTTGTCTTCGTGTTGCTATAGTTTAACCAAACTGTGAAACTTGGCCTCTATCGGGTAACGAATGAGGAGTAGCAAAGCAGCTTCAGTCGCCCTGTCGTTCCTAACACGACCTACTAAAGCTAACTTGAGCTCAGCTAATTCTAGATCGGACCCCACATCTGGGAATAAACCCGCAAAATACACACACGGAAAAGATAACAATGAAACGACACGCGTGTACGCGAGTCCTTCTTTTTTCAGAAGGCTAATTATGCGTACATTGGATGTGATTTGAAAACTAAGGAACAGTAAAAACATCGAACTCACAAATACTTTGGAAATGATTTATGGTTATTGTATATGTATTGGTTTGTTAAATTCAGCATCATATGTCGATATATTATTGGGTATAAATCGCCTAAAGAACCGTCAATCGAATGGATATGGCGAAAATGCTCTATACGTAACATTGCAGTTGTATGCATGCTTACCCGCTGAATAATATTTTTCATTTGCGGTTCTCGGTACCATTTGAGAAAATATTCAAAGTAAAAATTTTGAAATAGTTCAATAAAATAAACCTCGTTTACTGTTATCTGTTTTAAACATTTATCCGATGAGAGTAAACGAAATCTCAGAATTCTAAATATTTATTACGCACAACTAGTTCTATAGAACTACAAAGATAAATACATGAGTTTATTTTCATTTTTTAAAATTTAAAATAGAGTTTTAACCTAACAAGAAAATGTTGTTATGTTTTAGTAGAAAACCTATAGTATTTTGTTGTGGAATTTTTTTGATATACATACGTTCAGACCTTTTATGGATTTCTGTGTAAATTTGTTAAATTGATGGCAATTCGAACTCATATACGTTCATTCTTGGGCAGATGCATTTTGTAACTTTGATGTGTAACCACCAATTAAAAAAAAATTATATACAATTAAAGTTAAAATTAGATTTCAATATATTGATATTTTAAATAAAATTTGATAATCATACGCAATGCACAATTTCTGTAATATATCTGACCTGTTTATACCTTAAAAAGTTGAATCGTAGTTTCTTCAAAACAAATGATGATTTAAGATCCACCACCAAATAAGTTCGCCTTTTTTCCCATGTTTGTTCCACTATATTTTTAATGTTCAAAATATTTGTTTTTCTCATGAAATGAATATACAGATATGGGGAAAAAAAATATTTTTTTGTATATATGAGTAAAAGTAAAGTTGAGTAGAACAAAGTAAAGTAATCATCGCAATTTAGTTGTCGTCGCTGCCAGGTAAAACACATTGCCTTTCTGATTAATCACAGACATGAAGTGGTATTTTAAAAGTTAAAGAAACATGATAATTAAAAACCCGGGTTGCAAATAGTAGCAAGACTAATTCTCAAATTAATGTTTTATTTACTTTAAATAGTACACGTTATTAGAATCTTATCCACCTATCTGATCTTACATATATTACACACTGCCTCGTGCAATTTTATGAATTTATTATGTTTTAATTTACAAATACCATCATTGAATAATGCCATAAACTAAAGCAATCAATGAATGTATCAAGGTCAATTATTAGGAAGGGGTAACAAAATCATGTTTCACATGATTGAAAAAACATCTTTTACCAAATGTAAATTGGATAGGATGTAAATTTATGTTTTTACAAAACATATCTGTTTTCAAACACGTGTGAATAAATTAACATACGTGAATTTTCCTATTTTCTTTTTGATATATGTTATTTCCTCACAAGAGCTGGTAATTTATTGTATTTTGATTTACAATTTTGCTAGTGGTAACATTGCATTATAGTGTCTATAAATATTTAGACTATAAACTAAATTTTTGTAGAAATATGTAATTTTTACTGAAATATCAAGGTGAAATTTGAAGTTTGCTAAGGTAAATAAACTAATTTAGCATTAGGATTATTATGCTTCCACTGTTTAATCATTTAAAACAAGAGACTAAAAATTTAGTTGTGCCTAACCTAAAAGTTTTTTCAGTTTATACAGCTCACTTTTATCACAGAAATATCAGTATAATATTCAGATTAGCACACTTGTGAAGTTACATGAGTTCTATAGTAACATAACATATAAGCAAAATTATGTAATCAAAACCAATATAGCAAAACAACAAGTATTTTTTGTCTGCAAGACGATATGAATAATGAGTCAATGCCGACGTAATGTTTCATATTTGGATCAAAATAGGTTGTTTCAATAGGACGTTGTGGAGTTTTTATTTGCTCCAGACACCTTTGTTATCATTGTGTTTTTATTGTCCAGTGGCTTCCTTTACTCGGTCATCGATTTCGTTTTTATCTTTCCTAGCTGTGCGCCCTGGTGATTTATTGTTACTTGAGTCAGCATTTGGTGCCTTGCCGAAAAACATCAATATCACAGAAAAAGTTTTACTGTTTTTCATCAGTCTGAAAACAAATATAGGTAAATTTTCACATTTCAATTTTATGTTTATTTTATTCCAAAACTTATTCAATCGCTGAGTAGTTGTAAAGCCCAAATAATACATATCACTTTCAAATTTTTCAAACAAAGTGCTGCTTCATTTCGCTACATCAGATGAATGTTTAACTTCAAACCTCAGTTTGAAATGCATTCAACTCACCTTAATTGAGTTTTAAATCTTGCAGCGATGAAATAGATGTATGGATTAATTGCAGAGTTCAAATAAGCCACAAGAGAAGCTGCGTGGAAAAGTTTGCTACAGAAGTCACTCTGTTAAATATAAATCAGAGAATATACAAAACACATTTAAAATACGTTTTTAAGATGAAAACCACGAGCAAGTTCATAATATAACCGAGCTATTAAAAACGTGAACAATTTCATTATTTTCTAAGTGTGTGTAACCTATCGGTCATTTGAATGACGTATATGTAAAGGTCGAAGGAGCTGTGCAAGCAATTGTATAATTTTTTGATGGGGAAGTTTTTGTTTTAGGAGAAGTTTTATGAAGTATTTATGAGAAGAGTTTTCAGCTAAAACAATTATCGAAAAATGGTTTCAACAAGCAGTTACTTACAGTTCCTGAAATTCCTTTCATTTTTGCCATTTGAACAGAGTGATACGGAAGCCAACAGACTGCAAACACAATGACTAGTATTGCGCACATAATGACCACTCTAACGGTGTCTTTATCATCTTTTGTTTTTCTACTCAATGCGTCCCCTCGAAATCGCTTTTTGTGTAAATGAACAATGATCAGAATGTAACAAGCTGCGATAATCTGTAATATCATAACGTATAATTAATAATCAAACATCGAATATTGTTTATTATGTCTCATGTTATTGTGATTTATCATTATAATGCAATTTCGTTCGAGCATCCTAGTGGCAACGGACACACTCGGACCCGACGTAGGAAACAGATAAAGAGGATGGACCTGCAGTTCAATACACAAACACAGTCCTTTTCTCTCAATTAATCGCTTTTAACTAATCACTATCAAATCAAATGCGTCAACCCCAATTAATTTTGAAAATCAAATACGCAAGTAAATACTAAGTTACCCAAACTAAAATATTGTATATAAGATAATAAGAAGTTTCAAGGAGATAATTGGCATCGTTTGTTAATCAATCGACTTTTATTTTTATGCATGACCGTGCGTGTGCCTCTACTATAGATTTACCAACTGCTTATATCTGTTATTTTTTTAAATATTTCTCAATTTGCAAAAATACATATATTGAATAGACAAGAATATTGGGTCAATTATAGGTTATTGGAATAATTATGACATTGTCCTATTATTCAGAATATCACTAAAAAATAATTAGTAAATATGAAGCGAAAAGTACAACTGCCATTAGTAAAACTTAAAACTCACCATGAAAGGGACGATGAACATCACGATAAAATTAAAGTAGAGGAATCCAATAAATCCCTGGTTATATTTGTCATATTGACACTCTGGATTAGGAGTTTCAACCAACTCATCGCTTTCTGATAAGGTTTCTCCTGGGTAATCACTATAAAAAGATAAGTTTAAGATAAATAAAATTAAGATAGATAGGTTCTGAGTGCAATATAAGTCAACTCTAAGAAATATATAAATTCATCAACAAGGCTTTGGGAATAAAAATAATGTATTTATGTTAATTAATTTGAGATCAACGCTTGTAGAAATACGTTCAAATGATAAGCACAAATCAGAAACTTTAAGAAAACGATGATAGCAAGAAAAAAATCAATCATTCGTGAAAAATTAAGAATAGTACACATTATCATCTGGCGACGAACAGGCAGGCGATTTCTCCGTGTTGGTCATGTCTTTCATACATTCGTCGTAACCGTACCCTGATCCAGAATCATCGTCGGGATCGTAATCTTCCGAACAAATATTGTGAGCTTCCATATCGAAACCATACTCGGGGAATTGCAGTCTAAAAATAATGGTTCTTATGGGTCTGGCAGTAATAAACGTTCAATTTAATGTTATTGTAAAAGTTCGATTATCTGATCTTCCTGGCATTTAACATCAAAAATAAATATATAGTGACCAATCTTTAATCTACGACATTAAAAAATTGACATATTGACAAATTGACAAAATTGACAAATTGACATATTAGATCAAAATAAACATATAAATAGGGAATTGTGAAGATTTATATCCAGTAATTATATGATGATTCGTTTTTCTGTTATTCACAATGTCACCTAAAATGAAGCAGAACAAAGCAAACAAAGCAAATTTCGTAAACTTAATTAAAAACAAATACATTGACTTTGTAATAAGATTATTTCAGAATAATGAATACAAAGCACGGATCTAGCTCCCGAAATCATTCAGGAAAACATTTAAAGGTATTTTAATGAGAACTAGTTTATTCTCAGATTTCTTAATTTTAAACCTCCACATCATCTATAGTTTTTATTGTGACTCCATGCTAATTTCACATCAGCTGATTCGTGAAATTGATTAGAGATTTCATTTATTGGAAGTGAGGCTTAAAGTGCATAATTAGATGTTTTGAAATGTGGTAATATGATGCTGGTGTTTTAGCCTAAATTAATTATCTTCGCATACGCAAAAATTAAATTAAAAAGTTTCTCACTCGCATTTACAAAAAGGTTCACGTCCTCGTTTTGTGCTGTACATCATGATAGGTATACATATCAATATAGCGACTGTCCATACAATAGCAGTAATAATATAAGCGGCTTTGGTAGTTCGTAATTTTTGCAACCGGTCTGAGAATGCGTGACACACTGCAATGTAACGATCTAAAGCCATCACCTAAATACATAGAAATATTTGAAGTGTTAGATTGTTTTTTAACTAGCATTAATTTATTGACAAAATAAATTCAGATTTGATACGAAAACAAAAACAATTCAAGTACCTTAATAATTTTCATCCCAAAATCTGAATTACCCCTAAAATTCAAAATATTCCTGCCCAATAAATAAAAAAAAAACATTAATTAGTATTTTAACGCCTCGCGGTCAACATTGAGATCAATATTGAGTTTCTTAATTTTACTTACGCATGACGTAAAACACTGCAGTTCATAGAACCAAACACAACAAAGACATGAATATAAGTAACATGACCTAATTAATTACAGTAGGAAGTTTTAGGGAATTTTCTCTATTCAAGATTGCGTCAATTATAGGAAATGGTTTCGTATAACCTAATTAAGACTAACTTCTTAGAAAATGCTTGCACGTGTTTGTGAAACAGTTGCAACATGATCCCGATATATCACAGTAAAACTAAAGCAGCCCAAGTCAAATTTTTCTGACTGTTTTTGATCATCGGCTATTTCTGGCCATCTTTTGTTCTGATTACGAAGCTCTACCTATTTTACTTTTTTAGTTATTTTTTGTGTCAATTTTTACGTTCAGCTGTCAGTTAAAAACTAACTATTACGAAAATACAATTTTCTCAAAATCTTCAAATGTGACGTTAGCTAATCTAGTTTTAGCGAGACAAAATGCAACTACTCCTGTTCTTGTAACAACTGAAAATCAAATACCTTTCATTTCAATTTCTACGGGGCTAGGAAGTAATCAATTTCTTATAGTACGCTTTATTTTACTCTTAATTTTCCTGTGTATCAAAAAGGCTGTGTTTGTAAAACATAGTCTTACAAAATGCAATGAAAAATTTTAACGACGTTATATTGTGGATAATTGTCTAATCACAATCATTATATCTCACCAATCGCGAGTGATTCAGGTTCATGCAACAATATATATATATATATATATATATATATAGAAATGCAATACAAAATGGTATCGGTGCTAACACTACCTTATTATGTATTTTACTAAAATTGCCGAAAATGATGGAATGAAAAATTATTTACCGTCAGAAAAGAAATTGAACTATAATAGTTTACAAATAAAACAGCTTCTTTTGCTTTGCACATCCCATCTGAAAAAATCCATTCGTTGTTAGCATCTTCAACAACTTGGAACGGGAGAGTAAGAAGAAATGCTGAATCGGCGATTGCAAGCTGAAGAATATACCTATAAAAGGGTCATATGTTGATACTCTCTCTAATTTTTAGAATACAATAACCTTCAAAAAATTTGTTGTAGGCTCAATTGGCGTGATGGCCCAGCTAATAGGGCGTTACTCTTGGCTTTGTTATTATCGTAGACAGTAATCGAGTTTTGATTCCCGCGCCCGTCACCTCAGCCAAATTGGGTATGCAATGACTAACGGAGAGATACCAGTCATTTTGAAAGTCTTTGAGTATATCGTTTGGAATACGCACCTGGCTGCAAAGGACCTTGTTAAAGGCATGAGGCGTACTGATAAGTATCGTATAATGAAATCTAGGCCTACATCCTTTTTATGAAGACCTTGTTGGTGGCGCAGTTATTATTAGAAGTACATTTAGTGCGTGGTTAAAAGCGTTAATTTTCAATAAGATATACCAAAATTCCAATGCAAAGTCCGAAAGTAATATATCACTTGTTTATAAGTACGCGTAGGGCGGATATTAGGTCATGCTTCCTCTACCATTCAAAACATGAACAAAAAAAAATTATCAACGCCATTTCCATCAGCCAAGCACACATATTTTGCATTTATCAAAGTGTAACACCTTTTTTGAAATTCAGTGACACGAAATTGTGTATACACAGTCAGAGCCAGAAATCGTTGCGCGTATAGCGTAATTCGGAAGTGATAGGTGATGTTATTATATTCTAGATCGCGAACACAATTTAGATTTCCCGGGAAACTAGCGGTAGATTTGTCAAATCTTGGAATGTAGGTCTGAAATAGAGACCACATAACCTAAAAGTTAAATTTTGTTGTTGTTTGCGTGTTCCATATGTTCATGCAGTCTGTGGCTGCCTAGTCGGAGTGAAAGACGTGGGAATTTGAGTCGGATGTAAAAACATCAATATTTAAAAACGTATACAAAAATTGCAAAGTCTGAAAGTAATATTTCACTTGTTTACGAATGAATACGCATTTATCGGATATTATGTAATACTTCTTTTATAGTTCAAAACATAAACAAAAGAGATAATAAACGCCACTTTCATCAGCCAATCGTTTACATAAAATGCATTTACCAATGTGTGACTCCTTTATTAAATTCAGTAAGCAACAAAATCATTGCAATCACGATAATGTTACCCAAAACTCCGACAGCGCAGACGAATATTCTGAAACCATTTATAGCTTGAATATTTGGATCCAATGTATATTCATCGTTTCCATTGGTGTGATTGTAACCTTATGTGAAATGTAACAATATTTTGCAATAAAACAATAAAAACGACTTGCAAACCAGACTGTTAATGTACTCATTGGTGTCGTGTCGTGTCGCTTAAAAATACCTTGAATTATATTTAGTTACAAATAGTTGAATAGAGAAAATTCTCCTTTTTCTATACTTTTATAATATAAGTTTATATAATATCTAAAGAAGGTGTTTGGAATTTTAACATATCCGGAAACGTATTTAAAAGTGGAATAGTGTGTTATGATCGTGAGGAAACACTAGCGAAATATTCATTTAGCCACCCAACAATTCATTAATCATTATATCATCATTATTTATTCATCATTGTCTAAAAACGATTTAGCTTGGCAAAGATACGTTTTCAAATATTCAGCCAAATGGATGAAACAAACAGACTGGTATTATTAAAAGTTTACACTTTTTCCAAAAATCACAGATACAGATACCTAACTTACAAAATCAATAACAAGGGTTACCTGGGTATGTTGTAGCTAGTTCATAGCTGGTAGAAATATTCAATTCAATTGGCTTGGAGTCAACCAACGTCTCCGCCATTTTATTAGCAACTTAGTAAAAATATATATCTTACAAATATGTTCTTAAATAAAAAAAAAAACGAATCATAACTTTTGTTCGTCAAACATTTCATTGAAATATGCTAATAGACAATTTCATATATTTCAAAAAAAACTTTGCTCATTTTCACATTTCTAATCGCAAACTTGTAGAGTTCATTTTTGAAAATTATTTTTGCGTGTCACAAATCATTAATTAGTTAGCTTAAATTTTGTACAAAAGAAATCAAAACAGTTATCACATCTGAGAATTTTTTCATTATTTTATCATATCGAAGCCTCGTAAACTCGCGAATAACAACTTTCACATAACCACTCTCATTCTCAAGAAGCTAATATATTAGCGATTTTTTCATTATGCCTGACAAATAAATTTTACCTTGAAAATGTTTTAGGTTTAAAGCTTCAGCTTACAGTATAAAAATATTTGAAAACCTCAAACTGATTATAATTCTATTTTTGTCTATGTTCTAAATCTAAGAGTTTAAAGACAAAAATATACATTGAGGCAAAATAAATAAACTTTAAATAGCAATAACTATCCGATATAGTCTCAAGTATTGACTTCAAAAGTAGTACATCTACAAGTTCTCATCTGCGCTGGACAATAATTATTAAATAATAAGTAATCTTCAATGAGGCAATAACATTTTTACGTTAGATGCGTTATGCCAGACTGAGATCAATACAGTATGTTTTGCTTTGATTTTGAATTCTTCTAGCTCGTACGTATACGTTCATTTTCGGATGTCACGTTCCAGAAAGTCATTATTAGGAAGTCGTATTGTTGCAGGCATTCCTTGCTAAGCCTAGTAGACAATTCCATGGAATACTCGTGAATAACTTTACTTAACTTCTCACAATTCTCTCATTCTGAGAAAAGCACAATTCCCGGGTTTTAATTTTGTTATAATGAGAATAAATTTGGTTCTTTACGTATTCACAAGTATTTTGTCTTCGTGTTTATATTGCTATAGTTTAACCCAAATTGGCCTCTATCGGGTGACGAATGAGGAGTAGCAAAGCAGCTTCAGTCGCCCCGTCGTTCCGGACACAATCTACTACTAAAACTAACTTGAACAAAGCTAATTCCAAATTGGACCCCATATCTGGAGATAAAACCGCAAAATACGAACATGGAAAAGATAACAATGAAACGACACACCTGTACGCGAATCAGGAGTTTAGTTGTCGGAACTTCACCACTCATTATGAATTCCTTTTTTCAGAAGGCTAATTATGAGTACATTGGATGTGATTTGAAAACTAATAAACAGTAAAATCATCGAGCAGGTCATTGTATTGGTATTGGTTGGTTAAATTCAGCGATATATAATTGGGTATAAACCGTCTAAAAAAACCGTCAATTGCATGGATATGGCAGAAATGCTCTTCTATACGTAACATTGCAGTTGTCTGCAGGCTTACCCGCTGAATAGTTTTTCTAATTTGGAGTTCTCGGTACCATTTGAAAAATATTCAAAATAATAATTTTGAAATAGTTCGACAAGATAAACTTCGTCGGCTTTTGGCTATTTTAATCATTTATCCGATAAGAGTAAACGAAATCTCAGGGATGTCTAAATATTTCTTACGCACAACTATTTCTATAAAACTACAAAGATAAATACATGAGTTTATTTTCATTTATTTTTAATTTGAGATAGTGTTTTTAACCTAACAAAAAAAATGTTGTTATGTTTAGTAGAAAATCTATATTATTTTGTTTTGAAATTTTCTAGATATACACACGTTCAGACCTTTTATGGTTTTCTGTGTATTTTTGTTAAATTGATGGCAAATCGAACTCACATACGTTTATTCCCTGGAAGATGCATTTTGTAGTTTTGATGTATAACCACCAATTAAAAAACAGATTATATACAATTAAATTTAAAATTAGGTTTCAATATTTTGATATTTTAATCAAAATTTGATAATCATATGCAATGCACAATTTCTCCAATATTTCTAACTTGTTTATACGTTAAAAGGTTAAAACATAGTTATTACGATGACTTAACAAATACAGGTTTTCTTCAAAACAACATTATCTAACGTCAATTATATTACTGCTTTTTTTTCATGTTTGTTCAACCATATTTTTAATTTTCAGGATATTTTCCTTTACAGATAAACTGCTAAACAACAGGTCTTTTTGTATATATGAGTGAAAGTAAAGTTCAGTAGAACAAAGTAAAGTAATTATCGCAATTTAGTTTTTATTTCAATTCATGTTGAAAAGAATATGTATTAATAGAGCAAAATTATATCTTACATTCGCAATGTATTCTCATCAATATTTATTCGACGTTTAAATCGTTTTTACTCTGAACAAGTATGTTTATCACATACAACTACACAAACCGTCACTGCCAGGTAAAAAGCATTGTCTTTCTAATTAATCACACCATGATAGGAGGCATGAAGTTTTATATCAAAGTTATAGAAACATGATAATTAAAAACTCGGGTTGCAAATTGTAGTAAAACTTATTTTCAAATTTAATGTGTTTATGTACTTTAAATAGTACTCTTTATTAGAATCTCATCCACCTATCTGATCTTTTATATATTACACACTGCTAATGCAATTTTATGATTTTATTATGTTTTACATACAAAGACCATGATTGAATAATGCCATCAACGAAAGCAATCAACGAATGAACCAATGTCAAATATTTGAAAAGAGGTAACAAAATCATATTTAACATGATTGAAAAACGTTTCCAACAAATGTAAATTGGATAGAAATGAAAATTTTTATTTTTACAAAACAGATCGCTCTCAAAACACGTGTGAATAAAATAACGTACGTGAATTTTTCTATTCCTCGTTTTAATATATTTTATTAACTCACAAGAGTTGGATTTTGGTTTACCCATTTTTCTGATGGCTAATAACATTGCGTAATAGTGTCTATAGATATTTAGACTATAAACTAAATTTTTGTATACGAATATGTAATTTTTACGCAAAAATCAAAGTGAAATTTGAAGCTTCTTAATTAAGGTAGTTAAACTAATTTAGCATTAGGATTATTATGCTTCAACTGTTCAATCATTTAAAACAAGAGACTAAAAATTGAGTTGTGCTAAACCAAAATGTTTCTCAGTTATACCGTTCACATTTTATCACAAAAATACGTTCTAGTAGCATAACATATAAGAAAAACTATGTCATTGAAACCAATATAGCAAAACAACGAGTTTTTTTTTGTCTGCAAGCCGCTATGTATTATAATTCAACGTCGACGTAATGTTTTATATTTGGATGAAACGAGGTTGTTTCAATAGAACGTTATGGAGTTTTTATTTGCTCCAAACATCTTTGGTATTGCTGTGTTTCTATTGTCCAGTAGCTTCCTGTACTCGGTCCTCGATTTCGTTTTTATCTTTTCAATTGTTTGCCTTGGTGATTTATTGTTACTTGAGTCAGTCTTTGTTGCCTTGCCGAAAAAACGACATCATCACAGAAAAGGTTTACTGTTTTTCATTAGTCTGGAAACAAATACATGTAAATTTTTCTGATTAGCTTTCATGTTTTTTTTTCATATTGTAAAAATACATCTATCGGTGAGTAATTGTAAATCCAAATATTCTACATCACTTTCAAAATTTACTAAACAAATTGCTGCCTTTCGTTAAATAAATACTGCTAAAGCAGGGGTGGGCAAACTGCGGCCCGCAAAGAAAATTTGTGCGGGCCCGCAGAGAAGTGTCAATTTTGAATGGTATGCCCGCGAAACGAGTTTTTAGTTTAGTTAATCTGGTACGGCGCGAGCAATTTCTCTTTGCGTTGCAAAGCCTGGCAAAACTAGCCAGTAAGAGCTAGTAAAATATTGCGTTTCAACTCAACATTTCTGCAACCTTGCTGCCGGTCTGCCAAATATATCCCAATATAAAATATATTATAAGCAAATTGCAAAATACGGTATTGAAGTATTGACGGCATGTCCATTAATTCTTTGGGATTTTTTTTTTTAACTCTTATCGATTCGTAGGCTGGATGTTCGTTAAGTCTATGACCTCATAACGGGGGCTAACGTCATAACGGAATGAGTTTGATAGCAACCCTAGTCGGGTTGGGAATTCGGGAGCAAGTTTTCGAAATCCCGGTATTGAGCCGAATAATTTCGGGATTAAGTAAAACATTGAACAACTTGCATGCCAATAAAATCATGTATTTATTTCATGTAATATCGACACATAAATATTATAGCATCTAGGGCAGTGGTTCCCAATCTTTTATATCGCGGAACACTATTTAGCTATTTAAATATTCGCGGCACACCTATCACACAAAACACGAACAGTTTCGCTCATAAAGAGTGCGATAGTCGAATGCGAACAAATTGTTAATAGTAACCGATATTACAACTGTTTTCTTACATTAATGTAAACGAGGGCGTCTTCGGAGCACCTCACATTTGTGTAAACTTTGCGCGCCGCACGGGTGTCGGGTAAATACGTGGCCTTCAAACGCGACGCCGATCACGCGTTTGGGTTTTGCTCGCCGTTGCAGGTTACGCCCTTATTATTATCACATGTATATGAAGTATTGTCACTTTTTCACTTAATTCATTTTTGTTACAATTCAATATGTTTCTCCTATTTCCAAAATTATTCAATAGTGTTATTGTCGGCACTTGCGAGAGGAATGAAAAACGCAAAAGAACTGTATTTCCTTACAACAATTAATTATTATCGCTAAAAATACTAATGAGGTTTAACGTTGTTTTAAAACAATTTTGACCGCTGGACTTATCTCTTCACGTTTTTGAATTTGTGCAAGGCCCGAGCATAATTTGATTGCAAAGATCATAGCATTTACTATTTCAAAACGCTTATTCGACTTTTCAGACTGAAGAAACTATCCGAAAAAGATAACCGTTTTTGTCTTCGAGATATGAAATAATCGTCAATTCCACCACGCTTTCGTGAAGTAGTGCAATTTACTAAATTTATGAAGGTTTGTTTCAGTTTCATTGCATCAGTGTTTGGACTGCCACGCATTTCGCCAGATTGCTGGCGTGGGCAAAATAGTATATTTTCATCGAATCGAATAATTTTAACGAAATGACGAATATTGGGTTGAATTCGGGATTTTATACCGATTTTATTTTTTTGGGTCGGCTTTGATCTTTTTTGTTACAGTTTTAAAATTAACTGTCATAATTTTAAAGCTAAAAATATTATCATTTTTGACGCCGGAATGTGGGTATTTTTGAAGACGATTAGTTGACATTCTTGATTTTACTTTTCTATTGTGGCTGTTTTATTTTCGTATTCAAATAGTGAATAAAAAACCTTGCAAATCCATTGCGTGAATCCTAAATTCTATTTTGAGTTCAAATTATGATTAATTTGTCGGCAATAATGGCAATTCTACTAGTCAACAATAATAGTTCCACTTAGTCTGACTGATTCAAACTGTAAGCGTGGATGTTTTTTTTTCAAAATAAGTATTAAATGAAATGGTATATCCTACAATTTGTGAGAAAATCTATATGTGAATAACAAATCATTAAAATCCGAGATTTTCAGGAAATAATTGCGGAATCGGGATTGGAAAAAAACAGCCCAAACCGGGATTTTGGGATCGAGATTTCCCGGGGTCCAACTCTACATAGCACGGTACCTGATTGAAAAATACTCAGTTCGCACGTTCCGTAATTTGACAGTAGGTCTATAATTTAGCGAGGTCTGATAGCAAAAATGGAGGCAAACAAACAGCAAAATATTATCCAGTTCAAACAGCTCTCCTTCGCCTTGCAGAAACTTCATTTGAACAGCGTTTAACATGTTTAATATATAATAAAAGACAGCAGCAAATTTCTCAATAAATTGGATTGTCCTTTTCTGCACCGCCTACTTTTGTCCTAATTGCATTCCTTTAATACATTGTGTTCATGACATTTTTGGTTAATTTTGAAGGTCCGCCGGTCCGCAAAATTATTCTGAAATTTAACCGTTCCGCGTACTGAAAAAGGTTGAGAACCACTGCCCTCAGCAATGCCGTAAGATCAATACCAAACGAAACAATTTTTTGTGCTTGCAACTACAGTATAAACTCTATCTACAAAATTAATTAGTTCCTGAGACTCCTTCATAGGTAGAAAATTCCGTAAGTAGGGACGCATTTTACCTGTAATTGCGCTAATACGTTCTAAGCCGCCACAAAACCCGAACATAATATTTGTATAAATTATAATATTGGTTAAAACACGTAGCGAAAACACGTTAGAATTATATTACTGCATAATAAATAGAAAAGGTACACACGGAACAAAGAAAGAACATAGAAATACCGAATAAAAACAACGAACGGTATGTTTGTTTACCTTTGGTATTGGTCGACTAGGCTAGGCTAAACGCTAGCAACACATTGTACGTTCCCGCGGGAAACAAACGGGCTAATGGGATGGCGAATTTATATTAATTTATTGCTGCGCCGCACATGACTGGCTGTCTTCGATTACGATAAAAAATATAATAGATGTAGAATGATTTAAATCAAAACGTGGACGGCGGCGCTAAGATATGTGCGATATTCTCATAAACACGAAAAACGATATTCGAAGGTCGCGATTTTTGTATATTGAACTCAAATTGGACAACCCTTCTCCGAGCACTGCATTGAATTAACCTGGAATAAACAAATATAACTATACACGTTTTTTAAGTTTTCGTTTTTCGGCCTTTTGTATGTGAAAAAATCTTATGTTAGCCAATAAAAGAATTTTCGTAAATTTGATTTTTCGTATCCAGGGCCTTTCGTAGGTAGAGTTTCTAGATGAGTCTCGCGGACTCACCCAGTGACTTGTATCTGGCCCTCTTGTAATAAAAGTTGCACACCCCTGTGCTAAAGCATAAAATAAATGTTAAATTGCATTAAACTCACCTTAATTGCGTTTTAAATCTTGCAGCAATGAAATAGACGTATGGATTAATTGCAGAGTTCAAATATACCATAAGAGAAGCCCCGTAGAATAGTTTGCTGCAGAAGTCACTCTGTTAAATATAAATCAGAAAATTTTTGAGGCACATTTTTGAGGAAATTTTTAGAACAAAAACCACGAGCAAGTTCATAACATAACCGAGCGTATGAGAAAATTGAACAATTTGAATATTTTCCAATTGGACAAGAATATATGGTGGTTGAATAACCTCATCCCTAAAGGCCGATAGAGCTGTGCAAGCTATTAACACATTTTTCAGAAATGAACATCTTGATCTTCGGTCATTATGGCCCAGAGACCTCTTGGTCAGGGTTCCGAATCTGTACCTGTTTTACTCATGATTTTATGCAGTGCCTTGTGTCAATTTTTACGTCAAGCTGCTGTCAAAAAAATACTATTCTCTCAAAATATATAAATGTGACATAAGCAATTTTGAATTTACTAGGACAGTATGCGATTTCTCATTTTCATGTAATTACTTAAAATCCAATACTTTTCGTTTCAATTTTGTCTAGAAATTCATAACATAACCGAGCGTATGAGAAAATGGAACAATTTGAATATTTCCAACTGGACTAGATTATATCTGTGGCCATATTCGTCATTTGAATGACCTCATCTGTAAAGGTCGAGGGAGCTGTGCAAGTATTTGCATACTTTTGTGATATTGAAGAGCCGGTCGTTGGAAACGTTTTATGTAATTTTAGCTGAAACTAATATTATGGAATAGTTTCAGCGAGCAATTACTTACCGTTCCTGAAATTCCTGTCATTTTTGCCATGTGAACAGAGTGATACGGAATCCAACAGACAGCAAATACAATGACTAGTATTGCGCACATAATCATCACTCTATCGGTGTCTTTATCATCTTTTGTTTTTCTACTCGATGCGTCCCCTCGAAATCGCTTTTTGTGTAAATGAACAATGATCAGAATGTAACAAGCTGCGATAATCTGTAATATCAGAAAGTATAATTAATAATGCTATCAGAATGACATAATTTCTTTCGACGAAAGAGAAGAAGATTATAGTCCAACTTTTTCAGATAAAAAACATAAAACCGAATCAAACATCAACATTGTTTATTATTTGTTATAATATTTTCATTTATCATTTTAATGCTATTCCGTTCAATTCTATGTGTCAACGGACATATACGAGCCCGTGGTAGTAAGTATAGACAAAGAAGATGAACCTGCAGTTCAATACACAAACACTCCTACTTATCTTATAATAATATACCAACTAAATTATTTAGTGACATGAAGAATTACAATGCTGTGTGCTATAAAATCATTACTTTCTATCTGAGGGAAATTTAATTAGCAAAATGATTTCCAAAAATAAATTACTCAAACTGAAATAATGCATATATATATGATAATATAAAAAGATTTATAAAGATCATCGACCGCCGTTTCATTTTTTTTATTTGTATGCATGGCCGTGTGTGTGTCTCTTCTATGAATTTACCAACTGTCTATGTCTGTTATTTTTCAAATATTTTGCATACTATTACGTATTTACGTAAATTACATACATTGAAAAGATAAGCACATTGAGTCAATTACAGGTAATTTGAATAATTAATACATTGTCTCATTATGCGAAATATCGAACAAAATAACTAGTTACTGGTGTATATCATCCGAAGAAAATTAAATTATCCAATTGAATTGCTTCAAGTTTAAGTATAGGTACAACTTACAACTCACCATAAAAGGGACGATGAACATCACGATAAAATTAAAGTAGAGGAATCCAATAAATCCCTGGTTATATTTAATATAATGACACCATGGTTGAAGAGTTTCACCCGATTCATCACTTTCAGGTTCTCCGCTGTAATCACTATAAATAGATAGGTTTAATAACTTCTGAGTGCGGTATAACTCCACGAAGTATATAAATAATTAGGGTTTTGTGAAAGAAAGGAATGTATTTCTGTCAAATAATTTGAGTTAATGCTTGTAGAAACAAGTTCAAAATGATAGCCAAGGATCAGAAACTTCAAAAAACAATGACAGCAAATTTAAAATCAATCATTCGTGCAAATGAAACATACTAAACGTAATCCTTTGGCGGAGAACAGGCAGGAGAGTTGTTCATTTCGGCCATGTCTCTTATACATTCTTCGTATGTGTACCCTGATACGGAATCATTGTCGGGATAGAAACCTTCACCCAAGCAAATGTCGTGAGCTGACATTTCGGGACCATACTCCGGGAATTGCAGTCTGAAAATAATAGTTGTTACAGGTCTGGCAGTAAGAAACGTTCATTTTATGTACTTGTAAACATTCGATCATCTGATCTTCCTGTCATTTAGGAGGTCTCAAACAAATTTTAAAAGTGAATATATCGATACCAATCTTAAATGTACGACATTAAAAAATCTTCATATTTATTATAAAAATAAACAAATAAATATATTCCTTCATTATATTTAGTGAATATTTAATGCTTCGTTTTTCTGCCTTTCATACTAGCACCTAAAATTAGGCAGAACAAAGCAAATTACTTAATTGTAATTAAAACAAATAAAATTCATTTCGAAATAAAATATATATTTATTGAACATCTACGTTGTAATAAGTAAAAAGATTTTTTCAGAAATTCAAACATGAAGCCTTCGTTTAGCTCTTGAAGTCATTCTGAATAGTTATCAATTGTATTTTATTGAGATATAGATTTTTTTTTCAGGTTTTTTAATTTTAAACCTGAACATCACATGATTGAACATGATTGTGTTTGAGCAAAAAATATTTGTTTTCGCATACGCCCTGAAAAAATAAAACGTTTCTTACTCGCATTTACAATAAGGTTCACGTCCTCGTTTTTTGCTGTACATCATGATAGGTATACATATCAATATCGAAACTGTCCATACAATAGCCGTGATAATATATGCTGCTTTTGTAGTTCGTAATTTTTGCAAGCGGTCTGAGAATGCGTGACACACTGCAATGTAACGATCCAAAGCCATCACCTAAATACTCAGAAATTTTTTAGGTGTTAGAATTATGAGTTAACCAGCATTAATTTATTGACAAAATAGATTCAGATTTGATACGAAAACAAAAACAATGCAAGAACCTTAATCATTTATATTTCAAAGTTTGAATTAGCCCTAAAATTTAAAATATCCTGCCTACCGTAATCAATAGAAAAACCTTAATTAAAATATTTCCCGCCGTGTGATCAATATTGAAATCAAATCCTTTCATGACATTACATTATGACTTACAACGATACAGTTTACAGAACAAACAAATACAGGAATATACGTAATGTGGCCTTACTAGTTAATTACACTAGGAAGTCCTAGGAAAATTCTCTATACATGATTGCATCAATCATAGGAAATGGTTTCGTATAACCTAATTAGGACGCAATTCCTAGGAAATGTTTGCACGCGTTTGTGTAATAGTGAAAACGCGATCCCTATTTATCGCTACAGTAAAACCAAAGTAGCTATTAACACATTTTTTCAGAAATGAATTTTTTGATCCTCGGTCATTATGGCCCAGAAACCATCTTTTGGTCAGTGTTCCGAATCTGTACCTATTATACTTATGATTTTATGCAGTGCCTTGTGTCCATTTTTACGTTAAGCTGCTGTTAGAAAAATACTATTTTCTCAAAATCTATAAACGTGAAATAAACAAGTTTGAATTTACTGTGACAACATGTGATTACTCCATTTCATGTAATGACTTAAAATCCAATATCTCTCGTTTCAAATTCGACTGCGATAGGAAGTAATCAATTATTTAAAGTACGCATTAATCACTCTTAATTTCCCTCGGTATAAACATGCTTTTGTTTCTAAAATGTACCCTTTTGAATTGCAATACAGATATCTAACAGCGTTTTATTGTCGATAGCCTAGTCACGTTTATTATATCTCACTAAGTTATTCAGGCTTAAGCAACTTAATATATAAATAAAATTTGTATCGGTTCTAACACTACGTAAAAATTAAATAATAAAAAATAATTCACCGTGAGGAAAGAAATTGAACTATAATAATTTATGAATAAAACAGCTTCTTTTGCTTTGCACATCCCATCTGGAAATATCCATTCGTTGTTAGCATCTTCAACAACTTGGAACGGGAGAGTAAGAAGAAATGCTGAATCAGCTATTGCAAGCTGAAGAATATACCTATAAAACAGTCATGGGTTATTACTTGAATTTAGATGTCAGCAGTTATTGTCCAGATGGGATACAAGTGGGAAACGCAAGACAATTGGGACAATTTTTATAAAATTACGTTAAGTGCGTCAACAGAATTAAGTTATGCACAGTCAAAGCCAATAATCGTTGCACGTATCGCGTATGTCGTAAGTGAGGTAATAATAATATATTCTAGATCGCAAACACAATTCTAGCGTCTTCTGGAAACTGTCGGGCCGATCCGGACGAAACTTGGCATGTAGGTCCGGAATGGTGTAAACATAACCCAAAAAGTCAATTAATTTTGTCATTTTGCACGTCCCCTTGTACATGTAGTCTTTTTTGTCGAACACTGAGCCTGAATTTTCATAAATTTGATAATTTTTTATTTAATTGTATTCCAATGGGAATCCCAGAAGCCTGGACAGGCACAAATTCATGTGGGATGAGATGGAACTGAAAATTATGTTCTATGTACAAGCCTGAATATCAGTGGCTGCTTCAGAGCTAAAGATATGCGAATAAGTGTCGAATATATTTTAAAGTACTATTGTTGACGTACTTATTATTTGATCTTCGTTGAGTACATAGTTGAAAACGTTCCATTGTCAAAATAATATAGCAAAATGACAATGCAGATTCCGAAAGTAATATCTCACTTGTTTACAAGTACGCATATGTCGGATATTAGGTCATGCTTCCTTTACAAATGAAAACGTAAACACAAGAGTATCATCGCCATATTCCTTAACCAAGCTTCAACTCAAAAAATGTCCAAAAGTAATATTTCTCTTGTTTACATGTACGCGTAGGTCGGATATTAGGTCATGTTTCTACTACAATTCTAAACTTAAACAAACACGATTATTAACGTTATTTTCATTAACCAAGATTCAACATAAAACATTATGTACTTACCAATGTGTGACTCCCTTTTTAAATTCAGTCAGCAACAAAATCATTGCAATCACGATAATGTTACCCAAAACTCCAATAGCGCAGACAAATATTCTGAAACCATTCATCGCTCGAAGTTCTGGATCCAATGTATATCCATCGTTTTCATTGGTGGGATTGTTATCTAATTTGAAACGTAACATTATTTGTATTAGAACAATGAAAAAAACTTGAAAATCAGACTGTTAAGGTTACTATATTTACTATACTCATACATCCATATATCCCAATGTCGCTCAAATGACCTCAAATAAAATTTAGTCACAATAATGGTTGAGCAAAGGATTTTTTTTTATAAGTTTATAATATAAGTTTATAAAATACGATGTTGTCATTTATACCCTATCCCAAAAACGTTTTAAAAATGTGAAATACTGTTTGATGCTCGCGAGGAAACATTAGCAAATTAATTATTCATTTAGCTAACTTAACACTTATATACCATTTTTGATTATTCAACATTTTCTAAAAGCGGATTTGCTTGGAAAAGATTTGTTTACAAACACTTGGACTAAAATTAGGGAACAAATAGACTGTCATTATTAATAAGTTACATCTTTTTGAAAAATCACAGATACAGATACCTAAATAACAAAATCAATAACAAGGGTTACCTGGATATGTTGTGGCAATCTCATAACCGGTAGAAATATTCAATTCAATTAGCTCAGAGTCACCCAACGTATCTGTCATTTTATTCAGTAGATAAATAAAATATATATGCGACAAATATATTCTTAAATAAAAATGATACACAATCAATAAACACGTTCGTAAAAAAATACGAATCGTTTCATTGAAAAAATCCAATAGACAATTTCATATATTTCATCACAACTTTCCGTATTTTTACATTTCTAAGTGCAAACTGGGAAAGTTTATTCTCAGAAAATATATTCCCAAGTCCTAAATAATTTGTTAGCTATCATTCTGTAGAAAGAAAATCAAAATTGTTATCCTATCTGATAAGTATTTTTTAATTATATAACCAACATATCGTAGCCTCGTGAACTCGAAGACTCGAATAACAACTTTCACATCAACCACTTTTATTTTAAGAAGCTAAATATATTAATGATTAAAGTTGTTTTCATTATGTCTGACAAATAAAATTTGACAATAAAAATGTAAAAATTTAAAACTCAAACTATAAAAATATTTGAGAACCTCGAACTGATTCTATTTTGTCTATTTTGTAAGAGGTCTAAAGCAGAATATATACGTCATATATCAAAAATAGATATTTAATCTCTCTAGGAATAACTAACTATACGATATAGCCTCGAGTCTTGGCTTAAAACGTACTACAATATCGCTGCTACAATGGACAATACGTAATAAATTAGACAAATCCGAAACGTTAATTCTTACTACAAGTGCGTTATGCCCGACTGAAATCGATACAGTGAGTTTCGCTGTGATTTTAAATTTTTATAGCCCGTACATCTACGTTTATATCCGGATGTCACGTTCCAGAACGTCAGTAATAAAAAATTGCATTGTTGCAGCCATATTTTTGCTAAGCCTAATATAGACATTCTCATTGAATACACGGTGACTGATCTTACTTTAACTTCTCACAATTCTCTTATTCTAAGGAAAACACAAAGCAGTCAAACTTGGCCTCTCGTGAAACATATGTTTTCAAATTTGATATCTGTCACGATTTGTTTGTGGCTTACAACATGACTGCTTGAGAAATATAAACATAGTTACAATTGCGTAAATAAGTAAAGAGAAGTTCCACAAACGTGACATTTGGCAGTTGAATTTATTTTTAACGTCGTGGATTAGAATGAAAATTTTCCAAGCACATTGACATCAAAATTAGTAAAACAGTGAATTCTCTAGTGAATTCATTACGCTATTTTAACGAGGCCAAGGCCAAATATGGTACAGACAAAAATACTATCAGTGTTTCCACGGTCAATCAAAAATATTCCAAAAAAGTAACATTTCTCAAAAATCTTTGTTATAAGAGGTAACTTAGATGGAAATGACGTTTCCCCGTCACTTGAGGTAAACGTGAAACTGTAAACCATTTCTATAAAACGTGAAATTTCAGTTATCTAAAGTAAAAGCAGCCACACTTGCATGCTGACTCAAGTCCAATTAAAAATTATCTATCTGAGTGATTTAATAAATTTTCCTATTTTAACAAAAGTAGTCACGCATTAATTAACAGAATTAGTTAATAAATCCATATATTGTAAAAACCAAAATTTCATAAATAAATTTGAAATTAATAAAGTATACGTTTGAAGACAGTAATTCATTCAGAAATCATTGTTATCGGAGGGTTGAGAAGAATATCCTTCATTAGAGAGAAGTAAGTGACCTAAAAAATAACATTGGCGTTGTTGATGATATTTAAATCCGCACTTAAACCGCACTTAATAAACCACTCTAAATTAGCCCTAATTTAATGCAAACTTTGTAAATTCAGTGACGAAAAATAGCATTTCGAAGGCCTTCCATATCTTAAACATGTCGAAACACTCGAATTAAGATCTGCAATCAAAAGCTTTTGCTTGCTGTTATAATTGTTGTTCCAGCGTATTATGTTGGTATTTAAATACAATACCACGTTCATCATCAAGTAACTTATAAGATATTAAAAGTGCTACTCACTGAATCGAGTTAGATTTTGCTTTTGGAGGCCTATCCAAATCGATCAAGGCTTCTATAGTCTCAAGCGTGTTTTAGCGTAAAATACTTGATAATATGCAAAATTTAAAGTAAATTACCAACACCCGCTAGGTGGCGCTAGTCAGATCTAATTTTTTGTTGGTCTAGAGCAGTATTGGGAATCTCTGAACATGTGGATATATTCAAAAACCGGGATTAATTTTAACTTTTCAAGGAAAGATTGCATGTTGGGACATGTTTATAATTTTTATAACAAATTGTGAAATTGTATACTTCTTGCTGCCCGGTTTTATCTATATCGTTGTAAGATACAGAAAAAGAAACCACTGTTCAATGTTTTTACTTCATATCTGTATGAAGTAAGGGAAATTGAACGGTTCATTGCATATAAAAATGGTAAAATAAAAAAACATGATCAAAATGGAGTAGTAAAAATAAAAAAAGTTTTATGATGTATGCACAATAATTGATTATTTTATATGATGAATTGTGGTTGGGTACTTTCTACGATTAGTGATTAATAATGTTGTAGTTATTGTAGATGTACCGATCAACTGTGTTTTATATATTAATAAAAAAAAAATAAAAAAAGCAGCGTTTTCCAAACACGTCTTCCGAGTGTTCCGTGGAAAATAAATTTAAAATACGTCCAAATGGGTCGCCATGGCGATCTAGGATTCGTACAGTTGTCGCCCAACTGACCGTTCAATATCGCGTCATCGTCGACCTGAAGCGGGCTAACTAACGTAGGGTATAGGCATTTGCGTTAACTGTCGGCCAATCTTTTTGACTGAGAAAAGAGATTTATTATTTGTCAACCAGAAAAAACATAAATACAAAGATAATAATGATAAATATAAAGCAATAGGCATAACGTTTCTTCGGTATGGACTGGAGTCCGCAATACGACCCTGCGGTCATCAGAGTCAGCTCCCGCCATGTTCGCACCAATTAAAATAAGGCCACAGTAAAAATATTTATTATTATAAAGCGGGTATAAATTCTAGAATTCTGTATCTTTGTTCTGTTAAGTTCATTATCAAGTTTGCAGCAATCCTTTTGGTTTTGAAACTAGAAGATCTAAAGAATACTGGTAAGTAGTCAACTCTTCTTCCACCATATCTATCTGGCTTTACTTTGAAATGCTGAAAAAATTACTCATGTTCGTTAAACTCGATTCAGCAGATAAATAAACTGCAGCTCGCGAACTTGCAGAAATTACTTACTATTTCCATTAGACGCAACATTAGAGACAAGCACTACATAAACGACATAGAAAGGTAAAATGAATTTGTGGATTCATATACACAGCAATCAAATTAAGAAATAATAAAACATTTATAATAAATGGAATATGTAAAATATTCAATTATATTTAGGTATGTTTAACACAATTCTGTTACCTTTCGGGGCGCAGTTGGCAAGTCTCCACGACGAACCCATTGGGAACCGCTACATTACACCGTTTTTCTCTATCAAATTACCCTTCCATTTTTTGTTGTTCCGCGAGGCGAGATAAAAAGTGTAAGTGTTCGGTGGCCGAAAAAGTTTAGGAAACGCTGGTCTATATACGAAATAAACAGGTCGTTGGTTTTAGCTGAAATATACAGGTCGATTGTTCAGTGACTTCTATGATGACAAGCCCGTACATCTATCTACATTTATATCCGGATGTCACGTTCCAGAACGTCAGTAATAAAAAATTGCATTGTTGCAGCCATATTTTTGCTAAGTCTAATATAGATATCTTATTGCATACTCGGTGGCTGACCTTACTTTAAATTCTCACAATTCTCTCCTTCTAAGGAAAACACAATGCAGTCAAACTTGGCCTCTAGTAAAAAACATGTTGTCAAGTCTGATATCTGTCACGTTTTGTTTGTGACTCACAACATGACTGCTTGCGAAATGAAAAAATAGCTACAATTGCGTAAATACGTAAAGAGAAGTTCCACAAACGTGACATTTGGCAGTTGAATTTATTTTTAACGTCGTGGATTAGAATGAAAATTTTCCAAGCAAATTGACATTCAAATTGGTAAAACATTTGCTCTAGTAAATTCATTACGCTATTTAAAAATACTATTAGTGTTTCCACGGTCAATCGAAAATATTTCAAAAAAGTAACAATTTTCAAAAATCTTTGTTATAAGAAGTAACTTAGATGGAAATGATGTTTCTCTGTCATTTCATTTTTTATAAAGAAATTTAAACATGAATTTAAATTAAAGATTTGTAACAAAACGAAATTGTAAAAAAAAGTTGTTTTTTTTGTTTGTTTTTTATGGGTTATTTCTGTCCCGGCAGACCCGGAGAGGGGGTTTTACCGGGAAAATAGGGGTCCCAATAGCCTTCGAATACAAAGAGATGTAAAAGCATATTTTATTGTTCATGACATTTAGCGAAGCAATTTTTGCAGTACGTAAGAGAGCAGATTTTGCATAAAGTCTTTGTCCTCTTTTCAATTTGTTTTCGAGCACATCCTACACATCTTCTGCGTGTTTTTCCTTATACAGGAAGGTGCTCTCCCAGATTCTTCATGCGTTGCACAAGCTTCGAGGGTCTTCCTGACCGTGAGCTTCTTTTTACAAGATTGCCTTTTTGTTCTTTAGCTATAAGGCTTTCAGCTAAATCCGAGAGAAAATCCAAAAATGCACTTTTTGGATATCGCTGCAGTTCTCTGTGAACCACCCATGAATTCACTACAGCAAAAAGAAGAAAACGATAGAAAACCTTTTTTCACCATTTCAATGATTTACGATCAAGATCAAATAGTCCTGCCATTTGGTCGGCCAAATCGACACCCCCCATTATTTTCCTATATAAAACAATGGCTTCGGGACAACGGCTCAAAGTCGGACAGTTGCTCAAAAGAAGTACTTCTTTTGAATCCATCCACCACACGCAAAGAACACCCACATCATTGCCCAGGAAATGAGCTTCACCTTTTTTGTATTGCAACAGCGTCCTTGGGCATGTTCTTCCTATTTTTCATACAGGTACCAACAGCAGCAAAATTTAGATCCCCCATCAAATTTACAGAGGTAAAATAACGGTCGAAGGCCAAAGTAACATCGCTTTCTTTTATAGATGAAACAAGCTGTTTGACTACTCTTTTACCAAGAGTTCCTACCTGGCTGACAGTTTCTTTTCCCACGTAAATATTCATGTCGTAAGTGTATCCAGTCAACGAGTCACAACGCATCCAGACTTTGATTCCCCTTTTCACAGGTTTGGCTGGCATGTACTGTTTGAAAGAACTTCTACCTTTAAATTTTGTCATTGACTCGTCTAAGCTTTGGAAAACTCTGTCTTGTCTAATACTCTGAAAAGTTGATTTTAGACACGATAAAAGTTCATCTACGTAAAACGTTTTAGAAGCATCGGAGGTTTTTTTTGGTGTGTTGAAATACATCTTGGAGGAAAGAAGCTTGAACCTATCTCTAGAAAACGTAGCCTTGATCACAGCATTTCCCATGGAAGGTTTAGTTGACCAGTAGCAGTTCACTTTCGGAAGCTTGGCGAAGCACATTACAAGAAGACAACCAACCAAGGACATCATCTCATGTGGACTAGTTTTTTTGATTTTTTTTTTCTGTTTTTCCAAAATTTGTAATCTCTGGTTTGTGTAGTATACCATATGTATAGATAAATCCAATGGCCACATTCTTGAAATATTTGGTATATTGAAGATTTTTTTTGTTAGACAATCTGTTATTTTAAATTCCCTTTCAGTCGATGGAGAAAATTTTGGAGTAAATTTAGAGACGTCTTTGGAAGGCGAAGCTGGATTTGCATCCATAGATTCCACACCATCATCTGAGTTATCAGCATTATCTTCATCCGACTCGTTTTTACTTGTTGATCCACCATGTGAATCAGTATACGTAGAATCAATCACAGAATCATCAAAATTACTTTCATCGCTGTCAGATTGAGATCAGAAATTCAAAACTTGAGAGGGGCTATAATTGGACATTTTTGCAGTAAGCCAACCTAAAAGATTGGCAAATAACAGGCTAGAAACAGGCTTAGCTCTAGGTACACTGCAAAACATGAATTAGACAGCCGTTATGATATATTTCACCTAAAAACATGTTTCCAACATAGCAGACTACCACGACTGCTGGGACACATTTGTCCCAGAAACATCTAATCAAACCGCTGGAGGCCTGCTGGGTCATTAGCGTTCCACTACAGAAAAAAACTGAAACTTCCAAAAAAAAACGAAATCTTATTTTACTAGAAAGCAAAAAAAAACATGTCAGTAGAAAATATTAAACTTTGCTCCTTACAATCTTCACTCTCCTAACCTACGTTTTTGCTGACAAGACGCGAAAAGAAACACAGCCAACCTGAGCGACCGGGAACTCCAGACAAAATGTCGACGACAATGCGGGAAATTTTAGTCACGTGACTTACCCAATGGTGCCGTCTAGCGTTATGAATCAATGAAGTCTGAAATCTGCTTATTCCACGCATTTGGGGAATCATTTAACCCAACAGACAATTTTAGAAATATCTGAGGGACATATATATCCCTGCAGTCGTGAAAGGGTGTGTGTTTTGGCTTAAAATACCTGATAATATGCAAAATTTCAAAGCGGGCATAAAATGATTTATTTTGTGTATATTTGAAACATGAGGTTTTTCGTCTACCCAAATGGCTTGTGGAGATAAGGAAATTACCAACACCCTCTAGGTGGCGCTGGGAAGAAATAATTTTTTGTTGGTCGTGCGACTAAATATACAGGTCGTTGGTTTTAGCTAAAACATGGAGAACGATTGATCAGTTACTTCTATGACTTTTTATCTGATCTACCACAGAGCGGCCCCAATAAACCCTTTCGTATTGAAAGTTCATTCATTCCTTTGTTTGAACCTTATATTTCTGACTGCGAAATCCCATTACCTTTATATTTTTAGTGCAACGATTGCTAACCTCTTACTATGAGACCATGTAAACAAGATTTTTATGTCTTCTCTAATTGCGTTGTTAATTTATGTAGAATTCAGGTTCCACGTGTAGGTTCCACAAAGGCTTTACATTACGCTAACAGTAATAGTTTAGCTATTCACCATATACACAATAGCCGTCTTTTGCTTAAAAAATTAGCATCTTTAGTTTAGTTTTGGAAAATTTACTGATCCGAAGGTCGTACAATAAATTAAAAGACGCATATTTGCCTGTAGCCGATGAATGGTTTGATTCTTTGTTCTTCAAAATAAAGAGAGAATAATAAACAAACGAAAAAAACCTTGCTTAGTTTTTAGGGCAATTGCATACTATTGGTTTAAAGAGTTCTTTCCCAAAAATGTTCTCCGTTTTGTTGAAAATGTTAACTTTTTGCTGGAATTACTAATTCTTCTACTGTTGGTGCTATAAATGCGCCCCAACTGCAACGTTCAAAACTTTTAATTATTGTCCTGGTAGTTTTGATTAAAACCTATAATACATATAAACCATCAAATGTAAGGGAGTGTAGATTTAAATCGTTTTCCAATAATGTCTATTTAAAATCTCACTATGAGAAATGTTGTGTTCGTAACACAGTATTTTACACTATATTCATTATGTTTTTTTTTATGTAATATCTTGTTTATTCAAAATCCTATATATTTATTTTTACATTTATGTTTTGCTAGCTTATGTGGCTCGTAAATAAAATAGGTCGTTATCTATTGATTTATTATAGATGCGTTATGTACAGAGTGGTATATTGTATAAATATATCAACTTCATTTATTTTAAATGCAGCCTACGATTTGTGTCCTTAAGTATAAAATTGATGCCATCATTGGACAGGAATATTTCTGAATTCTTTACAGATGAGACATTTTAATGTGGAATTTTACCACCTTGTTGGCATTGTGTTCTTCAATAAGCAATAATATTTATTCGATGATAAAATATTTACTACGCTTACATAATTTACTATAATGATTTATGTGCAGAGCCTGTGAGCAAAGAAAGACCAGTGAGTTCGGATTGATTTATAATAATACGAGCCATTCCACACAGTCGAAAAAACTCTCGCCCGTTATTTGATCGATAAAAATTCCAATTTAATTTTACGTGATATCTCGGGATTGCTGTAAACTTATTATAACTTTACCAAAAAATGAAGACTTCTGCTGATAAAATAATTTTCAACTTTTTAAAAATCCTTATCTCAATTTGCAAGATTCGATATTTAAAATTGACAGCTTTCATATAGGGTCATAATCGAGGAAAAATAAACAGAAGATTTCAAATTATATTGACTGTAAATTGAGTAGTCAAAATCTTGTAATGCGCATAGTTCATACAAGAATTATAAAAATATAGACCCACTATGTCAAACGGGTAACGGATTCATAGATTGAATCATCAAATCCTAAATTTAATAGTGCCAATATGATATAATAATAACAATGATATATATTTTTAACAATTATAAAATAAATATTAAGCATTGGATTTGAAGGCAAATTTTAGTTTTTAGAAAAATTATTTAATTTAGTTGTATGATAACAGTACAACACAAGTCCAAAAGCGCAATAATAATTGTCTCACAACCTGTGTGAACTTTAGCAAATAAAATATTGTCAACCAACAGCGACCTATATTGATTATTATTAACCCAGACTGGCGAATCACATCTTGACAGCGCTATTTTGTAAAATATGGGTGAAAATACCCTGTTCAGCTCTAAGCTCAATACCGATGAAACAAAGCATTATGTCTACGATGTTAAATATTAAAACCAGAATGCACTTGTTAATTAAGAATGCTCGGAATTTAAGTGGTAAAACACATTTAGAACCAAATAAAAATAATAATTGCGTGATGATAAATAAATATAAATAAGCCCAATGAAAACACCCGGAAGTCTTACAATGCACTGTATTTGAATGCTTGTCATACATTTTGTCAGAGTCAATGCCCGGAACACCCAATTAATACGCATTTCAACGAAAACCCAATTCTAATATATTACAAGCCGTGCAGGGCTTTATCTAGTCATACGTTAGTTTTACACCAGCATTTCCGAATCGAAGAGAAATTTCTTCCCAGAGGAAAATTTTGACAGATTATATACTGATGAAACTGCGCAAAAACCAGACTGGCAGTTGCGAGTAACACCAGCTAAAAATATCTTAAAGATTGAACAAACAACGTAAACTGAGATTTTATGCATAGTGAGGAAAATATAAAGCGTTCCAAATTAAGCAAATAGGGGAATTAATCAAAAAGTATTGGATCCACTGTTCTATACAAAGAGTGAGCTTCTCTCTCATACAAATATTTGAAGTTCCCATGCCGTATAACTAGGGGGAAGATGTCGCAAAACTTGACTCCGCGAATGTACGAAGGTGATCTATATTTTTGTTACGTTCATGTTAATTTTCACTTTATAATATGTAATATTTATATATATTTATGGGAAAACTGATGGCAACGTTTTTAATTAATGTTGTTTTTAAAAGCTAAAAAGTGACTAAAACGATATGAATTCTTTCGATTTTGGGAATGTCTAAATCTAACCTAACTACAGGTTTCAGTTTCATGTCAAGTCATGGTTAGTTAGGATGATATATCTGGGAGACTGAGTACATTGCCATCTATATGTATTCCATATAAACTTATCAATGTTATTTAACTAAGAATTTTTGTAATGGTATAAAATACATCTTTAACCACGTGTTCTATAATTAGTCAATTTCATTGCCTACTCGAGTGACGCAAATGATGACCTTGAATTTTAACCATTTACCTATTATATATATATATGTTTGTTTGTCAAACGACTAGTCGTCTGAAGTTTTGTTGTGCTCAGTATACACTCTGTAAATATAGTGCTGATAATATGTGTACTTTTTCAGAACTACGGTATATTATAACTAAGATATTGCATAAAAAATGTTCTTTTTCAGAAATATAAAAAGGGAAAATGTAACTAATATTTCAAAATCCTCACACATAAATGATTTTCAAAAAACTTTCAGATGTAATAAGTAATGAAAAATTGAACAGCTTAGAAATGTTGTGTCATTTAAGTCGCGTTGTTAATCCCTGAACACTTACAAAATCGACCACGCAATAGTACATTTGGTATGCCATTCCGTATTGTTCGACATTAATATCGATAAGCTTATCAAGATTATAATACAACTATTTTAATCAATAAATACGTTTCCCAGTTTTTTTTATAAGATTAATGACATTCATTAGTGCCTAACTTTAATTTTAAATCGCATTATAGTTTACCAACGCAAAATTCAATCACTCTCCATGTTACTAAAACATGACACGCAACTCGTATTATAACTCGATATTTCATGCTTGGAAACATATAAAGTCACAAGAACATGTTTGCATATGTCAAGGCAAACAGTGTACATGCGTCACCTTTATCAGTGCAAAGTAAATTTGTCATTTATATGTGTAAATTAACATACAGGAAAACTTATAGTAGGTTTCCACGAGATGTGATTACAAGGTACATATAATGTTGGTGGCATGGTTATTTTTACTAACCAATAAAATAAGTTTTTCAAGTAAGCCTTTTCACACAAAACTTATATTTACATATTTACAAAACATGGTCATGCACATGAACATGAGATTTAAAAAGTTAACATAGTATGAGACTATACTCACTGATTTTTGGGGAAAATTGTGATTTTATAATATAATTTTGATTTTATCCAATTATTAATATTTTAAATAAAAATAACATAATCTCTTTCCACGAAATAACAAGTATATTTGTAATTTTCAGTATATTATTTTTAACTGACTAATAATCTATATCATTTGAAGCCATATCTTGTTTCATTTGAAGAAGTTAGACTATGATCTAACGAAAGCTCTCAAATATACTTGCTATTTCGTGGAAAGAGATTATGCAATACCTATTTATCTTTATAATACTATCTCGTTCAAGCATCCTTGTGGCAACTGACACATACGGATCCGAAGTAGAGAATAAACAAGGAGAAAGAACTTGCAGTTCGGTACACAATACCCTAGTATACTCCGTATTAATATTTTCATGCAGAAACGATTAAAACAAATGTATCAAAAGCCTCGATATGGAACCAGAACGATTTTATGGTCAGTATTTTTAATTTTTTTTTTCCAAACTTATTAG